GTCTCTCCTTTCTGTAAATCTGCCTTTTCAGTAAAAATAAATAAATCTTTTTAAAAAATAGATCAAAGTTACTCTTTGAAGCAGGTGCATTATAGCAGAAGTAGATTCAAGAAATGAGTCATTTCGCTCAGCTGCTGTCTGGGGCATATTCTGCAGTGGGAGGGCCTGGGTTTCAACCACAGGTGCTGCTCTGGACTCCTGCTTCCGGTTCATGCGGGGGCTCCGGGAGGCTCTGGTCCCAGCTCAGCAAGTGGGGCTCCTGCTACCCAGGTAGAAGATCCCAACCAAGTTCCCAGCCCTGGGCATTGTGGGCATTTGTGGGCATGAGCTGGTGGATGAGTTCACCCTGCCCATGTCTCTCTGTCTCAAATTTTGGGGGGAAAAATTGAATTGAGCTGTCTTGTATGTTTTTTGCCTGCTCTCACCCACGTGTGGGATTTGCTATTCCAGCTAACACCTTGGGAAGATGCGGCAAGGAGGGCCTCACCGTTACAGCTCTCGGCCATGACTTCTTCAGCCTCCAGAAGTACAAATTAAGTTTCTGTTCCTTCTGTGTCCTCTAGCCCAGGGGATTCTGTCACAGGTGGGCAGACCAGCCCAGAACTGGGAGACACTATCCCTTTAACCTGCATCTTCCTCTGCAGCATCCAAACAGCTGCCCCAGCTCTGGCCAGCACATCACAATTCTAATCAGACTGAACAAGGGGTCCCCAATATCCCATATGAGAATCCGTTTCAGGTCCAGCTGCTTCACTTCCAGTCAAGTTCCCTGCTAATGTACCAGAGAAGCAGCAGAAAATGGCCCAGGTCTTTGGGTCCCTACCACCAATATACAAGACCCAGATGGAGTTCTAGACTCCTGGCTTTGCTTCAGCCCAGTGCCAGCCATTGTAGCCACTGTGGAAGTGAACCAGCAGATGGGAAAATCTCTCTCATTCCCTCTCTCCTTCTCTTTCTGCTATTCTGCCTTTCAAGTAAATAAATCTTTAAAAAAAAAAAAAAAGGAGAAACAACCTTCTAAGTGTCACATGGCATTGCTGTTCAGATCTCATGGGTCACACTTAGTCACAAGGCCATTATCACCTTCAAAGGAAACTTAGACCTAACCCCTTACCCCTTACCAACCTCCCTCCTGCCAACTCCGCAGGGGCATACCCAGGAACCCTGAAAAGGGGAGCAAATTAGGACTGTGACAGGTGTAGTGCCCAAGCCCAGAGGCTGGCATCTCTGTGGGATGGGCAGTTCTGGGGAGCAATGGACTTACGGCAGGCGGTCTGTCCCTTCACTCCCCACCAACAGCTGTTCTCACTCATTGCCTTGGCTGCGCCCCCCCCCCCCGCCCCCCGCATGGTCTCCCCGTCCACTCTCCAGTGTAGCTTCTGGCCTTGTCTCTCAGGACAAAATTGCCCCTCACCCACCCACCACCCTCAGTGGCTGCACCATGAGCACATGTTTCCTGCCAGCACAGGCTGGGGGAGAAGGGGTGGAGCAAGGGTGACCAGAAAGGGTGCTAAGCCAGACTTTGCCTGAGGGTTAGGGTTTCTCTGCCAACACAGTGCTCTCCTCAGTCCTAGACCACCCTGACCAGCTCCGTGGTGAGGACCTTCAGATTCCCATAAATCTTGTTTTGACTTTGGGCTTGGTGTTCCTGTTATTGTTATTTTTAAAAAAGATTTATTTTCTTTTCATTGGAAAGTCAGCTATACAGAGAGGAGAAGAGACAGAGGAAAATCTTCTGTATGTTTATTTACTCCCCAAGTGACCACAATGGCCAGTGCTGTGCTGATTCGAAGCCAGGAGCCAGGAGCCAGATTCTCCCACATGGGTGCAGGGTCCCAATGCTTTGGACTCAAATACTTGGCCTATCTTTTGCTAATACTTTTCCAGGAGTATTAACAAGAAGCTGGATCAGAGGTGGAATATCCAAGACTCTAACAGGTTCCCATATGAGATGCTAGTGCCATAGGCAGCAGCTTAATGCACTGTACCATCAGGCCAGTGCCCTCCTCTCAAACTAGAGGTGGCCACCTGAGGCCATCTGCAAGGCAACACTGGTGTGTGGGAAGGGACTCTGATGTTGAGTGCAGCCCATTGCGCTGGCTCCCACTGACCGCTGACTGGGCCACAGCTGACTCTTCCAAACCACTTCTATTGCTATAAACAATATTAGTATTAGTATTTGAAAGGCAGAGTTACAGAAAGAGAGACAGAGGAGACCTTCTATCCACTAGCTCACTTGCCAAATGGCCACAATAGCCAGGTTCTAGACCAGGCCAAAGTCAGGAGCCTGAAACTTCATCCAACCCTCCCACATGGGCATAGGGGCCCAAGCCCTTGGACCACCCGCCGCTGCTGTCCCACGTACATTAGCAGGGGCTGGATCGGACATGAATCATGTGGGATGCTGGTGTGTGGCATTGCCATACCACTGGTCCCTAAGCTGCCTCCTCTAACTGGATGGTGTATAGCTCTTGTAGTATGTTTGCCAGTAGCAACAAGCAGACGCCAACACAAGCAACGCCTGAATGTCCCCAGCCAGGTTTTGCAAGCTTTGATATCTGTCAGAGTGTGACCAACTCCCAAGGCATCACAGAGGTCAGCCAGAGTCCTGGTTTTGCTGAAACAGACCAACAGTTCGCCTCTCACCAGGGCACGCCATTTTTTCCTGGCTCTCTACTGTCCAACTATAAACAGAGTCACTCTTTGAGGCTTTTCACATAGCACCACTTCCAGATGCCAAATTATGCATTTGTTACAAGATAAGGTTGGTTGCTGTAGCAAAGAATGCTTTAAAGGGGGCCGGCTCTGTGGCACAGTGAGTAAAGCCACCACCTGTGGCACATGCATCCTATATGGGCGCCAGTTTGAGTCCTAAGTTCCAAGCGCTGCACTTCCAGTACAGTTCTCTGCCACTGTTCCTGGGAACGCAGTGGAGAATGGCTTAAGTCCTTTGGCTCTTCTACCCACATGGGAGACAAGACAAAGCTCCTGCGTCCTGGATACAGCCTGGCTCAGTCCTGGCAGTTGTGGCTATTTGGGAAGTGAAGCAGCAGAAGGAAGTTGGCTCTCTTCTTTCTAATTCTGATTTTCAAACAAATAATAAATATTTTTAAAATGCTTTCAGAAAGAAGGCTTATTGCTCTTTTATATAGTAATCTGCAGACAGTGTTGAGCTTGTAGACTGTCTTGGAAACCCCTCACCAGTGTCTTCCCACCTAGGCCCAATGTGGGTGCTCTAGCTCCTGCCACCACATCAGCATTCCAGCCAGCAGAGGGGAAAAGGGAACTCATGCCTCTTTCATTTAAGACCTGACCTGCAAATTGCCTCCATCACTTCTATTCATATTCCATAGGCCAAGTTTAGCAACCCAGTCACACCTAACTGTAACAATGGCTGGGAATCTAAATCGTTATTCCTGGCTGCCATTCCAGCTTAAATTCTCGTGATTCTATTCCTAAGGCAAGGTAAAACAACAACATGATGTCGGGGGGCAACTGACAGTCTCCATCACAGATTATGTCCTTGAGGAAAATGAACCACAGTTCCCACCCTACCTGGCAAGCAAAAGGAAGGAAAATGTTTGGATCAGATCTGTCTACCCTCAAATCAGGCTTCTCTCACAGCCAATCAAATATTTTTGTCATCAAGCTGCCCGTGGTTTGACTGGAGAGAAAAGATCTTCACATGTCTGTCACATAAATGCCCTCTCAGTTCTATACTCAATTCTGTACTGAAGACAGGGCAGTCTGGAAGACACAATCCAAGTGATGGACCTGCTGCTGCCTGCAGGGCAGAGTGGAGGGGATGGAGTGCAGCGGGGAAAGGTGATGTGTGTCAGACAGCTCTGCACCCTGTGTAGACTCTGGAGGTGGCCCAGGGCCTGGGGGGGGGGGCGGTCAGCAGTTGGGAAAAGGGACTTTCCAGGTCCTCTCCATCATATCCTCCAGGGGTGGTTCCCTGACCTTTCCCATCCCCTGTTAACTGTACCTTGGAAAGTTCCATCCTGTGGGACCAATCAGGGCCTGGCCCCCCAGGAGCCTGAAGCATCCAGAACAAGCATGGAAAGGTCCAGCCCCTCCCTGGTCAGCTTTCCTCCTCATCCCCCTTTCTCCTGAAGCAGATCAGGCACTTGGAATGATGATAGGAAATCTGCCCTCTCAACTGAGCAAATAGCCCAGTCAGCCATTACTGAGTGACCACTCCAGAGCCAGGGGCTGGGATGGAAGAGGCTGGAAGAAGGAGAAGGGCGGGGCGGGGAGAGGGAAGCAGCAGCAGCTGGGTCAGCATTCCCTATGTGGAGAATGACTCAAGCCCCAGGAATGCCAAGGAAGGGGGTAGGCAGCCACCAAAGCCAGGCTGGGATCCCGCTGGCAACAACAGATGTGGGATCTGGAGGTGCTGGACCATGGGGTGAGGGGCTGGGGCTCCTAGCCACAGGGACACAGCAGGTGTCTCTGCCACTCTGGACAGGTGCAGACCCAGGGTCCTCACACCCACCCACTCCTCCCCTCTGAAGCCCTCCTCGCAGTTCAGCCTGCTTGTCCTTTGGCTGAGATAGAAGCCTAGACAGCAAAGCAGACATGACCAGCTCTTCCAGGACCACCCCATCAAACCCCTGCCTGGCCTTGTCCCCACTTATCCCTTCCAAGTGTATTCTTAGTACAGGCTTCTGCATGGGATAAAAAGTAGGGCTCAACCACCTTCCACTGCCCCTCTCGCCTTCCCCACAGCGCTCCAAGACACCTGCCGCTCCGTGGCAGGGTCTCTAGCCCGGGAGCCAGGAGCCAGGCAATCTGGATCGCGAGATGTGCACTCCTTCCCTAGGCGCCCGCGGGATTGCAGCAGCTGAGCTGGGGGACCCCTCCCTCCGCGCGGTCGGACACCCAATCAGAGAGAAACCGATCCGCTGTCGGGCCAGGGGCCAGGGGCCGGGCCCAGAATAGTGCTGCCCAGCTACAGTGTCGTGCAGCCAGTCGCTCTGCGCACTGGGGCCGGCCGCATGGAACCCGAGCTGGAGCTGGAGCTGGAGCTGGAGAACCTTCTGCTCAGGGTACGGGGTCCCAGGAGGCCGTGGACGCCGGGGCAGCTGAGGCCGGAGGGGGGCCTTGCTCTGCGCTGGGGCTGGGCTGCCTGTTGCCGCCGCGCGTGCGCGCGCGCGCGCGCGTGTGTGTGTGTGTGTGTGTGTGTGTGTGTGTGTGTGTGTGTGTCTGTCTGCCTGCCTGCCTGCGTGTATGTGCGTATCCACGGCTTGGCTTTGATCTGTGCGCCCCTAAGTGGGCTAGAGGCTGTCTTTTAGAAGTGCGTGTTGGGTGTCCAGCAGCAGCTGGCTCTGCGTGTGACTGTGTGTTATCTGTGCTTGTGGGGTGCCACGGTGGGAGGGGGAGGTTGCAGGTCTGATCGGGATGCAGGCATCTTCCCAGCCCTCAGACATTCCTTCTTTTGGTAGGTCCCATCCTGGAGCACACTTGGAGGCCCTGAGCATCAAGGTGGGTGGGCTGCCCCTGGCTGCGGGCTCAGTCTCCTCTGAGGCATCCCTTGTCCCCCACCCTCCTGACACCTGAGTCCTGATCGTCTGGATTTCATCTTGCCCTCCCTTTCCCTCGTTTCTCTCCATTTTTGCTTCCCTCTGTCTCTTGGCAGGTGCCCTGACCCTCCCCACCCCTTCTTTTTAGAGGGGGCACCTGAAGGCTGAAGGCTCAGATCCCAATCCTGAGCTGGGTGAACTGCAACAATTTGCTGAACCCCCCTGAATTTCTGGCCCTGGCCAGTAACGCAGGGGCCATGATACTTCCCTTCTAAGGCTGCTAGGAGTTTGAGCTGAGAAATTCCTGGCAGAAAAGCTCTCTGGAAGCTTGCAGATCGTCAGTGCAGCTGTTAATAGCATCTTGATGAATTAGGTATCTTGCTTGCTCCCTATCAGCCAACAGACCCATTTCCCTTTCCAGAAATAAGCTTCATAGAACGTGAAGACAGCGCCCCATGGTCATCACCAGCCGTGACCACCAGCTCTGAAAAGGTCCATGGGAAACAGGCCACCAAGGCCTCAAGATGGATGAGACAGGAAGCTGTGGAGGAAGGGGATCCATCAGGTGGGGGCCAAGGTGAGACCAAGGCTAGTTCTGGGGAAATGAGAGCCTAAGCCTTGGCAGTGCCTCAGAGCCCTCCATTACGCATTAGCCCTTGTGGTCTTGGTCTCCCCACATGAGAGAGAACATTTTGTAGAATAGAGGACTCAGCATGGCTAACTCAGAAAGATGGGACCAAGCCACCCCCTGGTGTGACTTAAAGAGTCAGCTGTCGACCTGCAAACTTGGGTCACAGCATCTGGGCTAGGCATAGCTGCTGAGATGAAATCAACTGAGACAACAGATGAGAAAATTACAGTTCTGCCTTCTCCCCCTCCTCCTCCACTCCAACAGGTCCCCAAGCCAGGCCAGCTGCTGAGTCTGCCACTGGGCAGGAAGCCACATTCCCTCAGGCCACACCCTTGACTGGGGTGGGCACCCCTGCAACAGGGTGGGACTACCTCTCGCCTGACAGTGCAGCCTCAGCTGTGCACTCCGGCATGGATGACGTGGAGTTGGCCATGGCAATTCCGGCCACGGAAGCCTGGGGCTGCGAGCTGGAAGACCTGGCAGAAGAGGGGCTAGCCCAGTGCCCGTCCCCACAGGCACAGCCCCTCAGCCTCGGCTGGGATGACGAGTTGCAGAAGCCCGGAGCCCAGGCCTACATGCACTTCATGCAGGAACATACCTGCTACGATGCCATGGCAACCAGCTCCAAGCTGGTCATCTTTGACACCACCCTGGAGGTGAGGCCACAGCTCCACCCTGCCCTCTCTGGCTCCCACCTCAAGGCCCCTCCAAGATCTCCTTCTTGGCATCAGAAGGATAGGAAAGGGATATTCCAGCTCTCTAGAAGTATGTCCTAGTTACCACTCTTGCTTCGCATCTGTAGGGTACCAATGGACCAATAGAATGAGCTCTGGCGGCCTTGCCTGGAGCATGGGAGAGGTATTGTCCACAGGACACAGTTTGAGTGGGGTGACTTGTGAGCACATATATTTATCTCAATAGCTGGAAAACGTGTAGAATGGGGAGGCTTAGGGTAAGGCACCCACAACTCAATATCCCATCTATTTCGGGAAAAAATAAATAAACAGATGTGCAAATATGACCTAAATATTCATAGCTCCAAGACTTAAGAGTAAAAATTAATCTGTGCACCTCTGAGAATCTCAGTGCTCCTGACCCCTCAGTACCTCCGGCCACAAGCTGACTTACCCATGGGCAAATAGACCCCAGCATGACCATGTCCAGTGACGTGGGCAAGACAGGCCAGCTACGTCTGACATTGCCTAGGACATTGAAGGGACAGCAGGCAGGCGAGGTGGAGTGAGGGAGGAGGGTAAGTCTTCACACTGCTCACACCCTCTGACCTGCTCTGCCCCTCAGATCAAGAAGGCCTTCTTTGCCCTGGTGGCCAACGGCGTGCGCGCAGCCCCACTGTGGGACAGCAAGAAGCAGAGCTTTGTGGGTGAGTAAGGGTTGGAGTGGGGCATGGGGAGCAGAAGGCACTGGCACCACCTTTAAGAAAGCTGGGTCTGGGGTCTCCTGGCTTTAGGCAGAGAGGTCCTTTGGCTCCATCTCCTCCTGTCAGAGTTGGTATCAGCTGTTCTCTTTTAGCTTCACCCTACTGGAATTCAAGTCCATGGGTGCTAAGTAGCAAAAGAGGAAAGGAGAGGCAGGAATGAGGAGCCTCATTTTTCAGGCACAAGTGGGTTCCCCCACTGCTCACTCTGCATCTTGGGACAAGGACACTGGCAGGTGCAGCCCTCTGCCTCCCCAAATCATCTGCCACCAAAAGGCCTCAAGCCGACCTTGCCGCTGACTGCCCTCCTTCACTCCCAGGGATGTTGACCATCACAGATTTCATCTTGGTGCTGCATCGCTACTACCGGTCCCCGTTGGTGAGGAAGGAACTTAGGGAGAGGTTCCCCCAGATGCCCACATGGGCTGGGAGCAGGGCTGCCAAGGCGGGAAGGGCGCACCCCTGATTCCAGGAGTCTTTTGGTGTCTCTAGGTCCAGATTTACGAGATCGAAGAGCACAAGATTGAGACCTGGAGGGGTAAGGAAAGCATGAGGACCCCAAAGGGGACTAGAGGATTGTGTGGCCAGCAGGTTCCTGGGGGGCAGTGCAGGGGAAAGATGTGGTGTGGGACAGCCCAATGAGATGGAATGGCATCCCAGTGCCCAAGGTTGATTCAAGCTCTTCTGCAGAGATCTACCTACAAGGCTGCTTCAAGCCCCTGGTCTCCATCTCTCCCAATGACAGGTAGGCAATCCCCTCCATCCATCTGAGCCCCTTCTTTGTCCCCTCCTCTCCCCAGTCCCACTTAGCCCTGAACTCACGGCAACAGGTGGCAGAGGCAGTCTAGGGGGCTCCCCATTCCTGGGGTTGAGTGCAGCTGGGATATAGGGTATTTCCCCTGGCTGCCCTCAGACTCACCTTTCTACTTCGGCAGCCTGTTCGAAGCTGTCTACACTCTCATCAAGAACAGGATCCACCGCCTGCCTGTGCTGGACCCGGCCTCGGGCACAGTGCTGTACATCCTCACACACAAGCGCCTGCTCAAGTTCCTGCACATCTTTGTGAGCCTGCATCCGGGCTTGAGCCCACATGGGGGCCCTGGCAAGGGGACCAGAGGCGCTTAGGGCTGGGAGGAGCAGGAGCCCTCCAGGAGTGGACCAGCCTTTGTTCACCACCCTGAACCTACCCTCCATCCAGGGTGCCCTGCTGCCCCGGCCCTCCTTCCTCAACCGCACCATCCAAGACTTGGGCATCGGCACATTCCGAGACTTGGCTGTGGTGCTGGAAACGGCACCTGTGCTCACGGCGCTGGACATTTTTGTGGACCGACGCGTGTCTGCACTTCCGGTGGTCAATGAATCCGGTACTCACATTCTAGACAGGAGGATATGGCTGGCGGGGGCAGAGAAAGAACAAGGAAGAACCTGGTGGGGAGAAGGCAGGATGCATGTGGGGGGTGAATAGGGGACAGCAGTCTATGTGGAGTGAGGGTTAGGAGTCTGTTTACTTTGAGCCTTGGTCCGTGACTTGGCCTGTCTATGCCTCGGTTACCCCACTGAGGAGATAGGAGCCCTCACAACAGCAGCCCTTCTGAGCCTCCAATGGAGGGTTTGCAAGGTTGGGAGGGATAAAAGGTCACAGTAAGAGAGCAGCCGGAGCCAGGCTTCTAGTAGCAGATCATCCTCAAATGGGCCACAGAAGTGTGGGCCGCACACCAGAGCTCAATTTCCTGCTTTGAAAAGGGTTAGAGAGGGGAATTATTTCTTTGGATGGAGGATGGCCATACACTGTTTCAAAGTTAAAATCACCAGAGTGAAGCAGGGTATTAAAAGTGTTTTTATCTTATTTTCAATTGTGAGAAATTTCAAATATATACAAAGGATGTAAAAACATTATATAATGAACTCCATAGAGTGGTTGGCTGGATTAACTACTGCTTAACAAATTGTCCTCAATCAGTTAACCTTATTTATTTATTTATTTAAAAGATTTTTTTAAATTGGAAAGTCAGGTATACAGAGAGGAGGAGAGACAGAGAAGAATGTCTCTGTCTAATGATTCACTCCCCAAGTGACCATAATGGCTGTAGCTGAGCTGAACTGAAGCCAGGAGCCAGGAGCTTCCTCCAGATCTCCCACATGGGTGCAGGGTCCCAAGGCTGTGGGCCATCCTCGACTGCTTTCCCAGGTCACAAGCAAGGAGCTGGATGGGAAGTGGGGCTGCCAAGATTAGAACCGGCACCTACATGGGATCCCGGTACGTGCAAGGCAAGGACTTTAACCACTAGGCTATCGTGCCGAGCCCTACCTTTTTCATTTTTTCTGAAGCAATTTAAAGTGAACTACAGAAATCACATCATTCCATCCCTGAAAGTTTCAGTCTGCTTCTCTCAAAGTAAGCAGACTCCCCCTCCCTTGTGTTACCTAAAAAAGGTTGAGAAATTGTTAATACAACCCAAGACCAAATCATTTTCCCCAATAGAATCCTTCTTTAACCACCAGCGCATTCAGACCAGGATCCAGTTAAGACCCGTAGCTTGCATTTGTGTCTTTTGTCCCTTAAGTCCATTTTCCCCTTAGTTTTCATGCCGCTGGCACCTTGAACTTGATGGATCTGCTTGCCCACTGAGGTGGCCCTTGTCCCCTCCCTTCTAGCCATGTGCTTCCGTAGACAGTCTAAATGGGGTCCAGACTGCACAGGTGCCATGCCCTGGAGGTACCCTGTCTCACTTTCTGGATGCTGAGCCTGGTCCATGGGTTCAGAAAGTGGCAACTTGCTGCCTGGGTAGGAAGCTAAGGACCTGGGAGAATGGTAAGGAGTCCACTCTGGAGTTTGTCCCAAGCCCTTTGCATAGCACCTGGGTTCCGATGTGAGCTTCTCCCCTTTCCCTCCTCACCTCGCTCCCCCCCGCCCCATTTTCACTCTCCACTGCAGGTCAGGTCGTGGGCCTCTACTCCCGCTTTGATGTGATTGTAAGTGTATGGGGGAGCCGGGTCGGGATGGGGGATGGAGAATGTTAGTAGCCTTGGGGACATTTTGAGGGCATGGGAAGTAAGGTGATTAAGAGCCCTGCTTCTCACCCTGCTGTAGCACCTGGCTGCCCAGCAAACTTACAACCACCTGGACATGAGTGTGGGGGAAGCCCTGAGGCAGAGGACGGTGTGTCTGGAGGGAGTCCTCTCTTGCCAGCCCCACGAGACCTTGGGGGAAGTCATCGACAGGATTGCACGGGAGCAGGTACCCCATGCCCCATGGGCACCAGCCCTGTTTTGCCATGCACTGCTCCAGCTATTTCTGAACCTTGTGCCCTTGCTCTGTCCTCTTGTTTTATGACCCCCCTGTTCCTGACAAAGGAGCCCTGGTGTCCAAGGCCATAACCAGCTGAGTGCCTGCTGCTTGCCATGAAACCCGCTCTGGTCCCTGTTCCTAGTTCTGTTCAGTGATATGCCCTGATTCTGACTTCTTTGGCAGCCACTGTCCCCTAGCTCTGTGCCTTCCCTAAGCACTCACTGTGCACCTGCAGGTGCACCGGCTGGTGCTCGTGGACGAGACTCAGCATCTCCTGGGCGTGGTCTCCCTCTCCGACATCCTTCAGGCACTGGTCCTCAGCCCTGCTGGCATAGATGCCCTCGGGGCCTGAGAACACCCAAGTCTTCCCTCCTGGGCCACCTATGGCAGCTGGAAGCCAGCAAGGGGAACCGGAGCACTTGGCCTGCATCTTCCCTACCCCTGCTTGCTGGTTCAGCTTTGTCTGGCTCAGGTAGGCTATATTCTGGATCTTTTTGGGCTCCCAGATCTCAGATTAGGGGGTTACCCTGAGGGTGGGAGTGACCCTGAGCCATGGCTGAGCAGCCTCCCTCCATGGAAATCACAAGTGTGAGAGCTGCCCACCCTTGTCCCATGCTTAGCTAAAGTCCTTGGAGACCCTCCTGGAAGAGATGGACAGAGGCCCAGCTAAGGGACAAATCATTGCTCCTCTGCTGGGGATCCCATGAGATGGGAGAAAACTTGTCAAACTGTGCCGAGTGGAATTTCCTTGCACAAATTTCATCTCCCTAAGGGCAGTCAGCTCCCCTTCCCTGCTTGGTCACCTTCCTCTCTGCTCTTCCTTGCAGGTATCTCCAGCCCTTCCTAGCTGCTCTCACCTGCCTGTGCTCCCCAAAATCCTCGAGTGTGGCCACTGCACCCTGGGATGCTGAGATGAAGCAGAACCGCTTAGCCAAGCCTCGAGGCCCCTGCATGCCAGTTCTGGGATGAGCCCAGGTCATCCATGCTCCGTGGCTGCCCAAATTCTTTCCCCAGCCTGGGTCAGAACTGGCCCTGGCAGGGAGCAGTGAACCTGCAGCCCATGGGGCTAGTCAGGGGCTCCAGGCTTCTCATCTTTGGGTCATACCCAGCTACTGGGAATGCCAGCTGTTCTTCTTTCAGGCCACCACCCTCCTCCTCCTCTAATGTCACTTTAAGGATGCTGGAGGTCATGACACAGCCACACTTATTCCTAGAGCTGCCTGGTGGAGTGGAGTCTTCCCTCTGTTCTCTTCCAGAAAACTTGTTAGCGCTCCTCAGGGAGCAGCACTATCAGTCCACGCTGGTGGATGGCCTTGTATTTGGGTCCATGAGAACAAGCCATGGCAAACACAAAAAGAACAACCTTCTTAGGGTTCACTCAGAATGGTACAGTCATTTACCCTGAACTTGTGGCCAGGATCGTAGCGCTTTCTGAATTCAAAGACTCCAAGGAAACTCCGCAGTTAGCAACAAGCCCCAAGTGGCATTTCTTTTGCATCCACTGTGTTTTCCATTGAAATTTCTTTTATACCTTTTGTTTGTAACAAAACCATAAAGACGATGTCCATTACTTATGTATATAGCAGGAACCACCTATCAACAAACTCATCTGTGAGAAATGTAACTCATCCAATACCAAAAGCAATTTTTACTGTGAACCTTTCAATTTGAGGTCTCCCCCACCTTTTCCTGAGGTTAAGATAGGTAGGGAGGGGGATGCTTTAACCGGTGTGTTAGACTTTGCTCCTTTGATGTCAGCACCATCCATGCTAGCACTTGCCCAAGAATCCTGATTTCCCACCAGGCAGCCAGTTGTCAGTCATTGGCATGTATGGTCATTGCCAGTTGCTGCCTCACTCCTGCAGAGTCTCCTGCACTTGTGACATGCAGAACAGGCCAGCTTTGGCTTCCTGAAGTCCCATGAGGCCATTCCAGAGCCAGACACTCAGATGTACAGCCGACAGCGTGTGTTGCTCTGCCTCTTGTTATTAGTTTGCCTAAGTTCAGCACAGGAAGAGTGGGACTTCAGGATCTTCTATTCCCCAAATGTACATAGGGTCCTTTCTCGGGGTTCTTTGCTTGAGGACCCCAGAAAATATCTACATTCTCTTCGTTCCTTAATGCTCTACCAGCCTTGGAATCTTTTTATTTAAATTGATTAATTTATTTGAAAGTCAGAAAGAAAGAGGAAAGGAGAGAGATCTTCTACCCATTGGTTCACTCTCCAAATGATCACAATGGCCAAAACTGGACCAGGCTAAGGCCAGGAACTAGAAGCTTCTTCCAGGTACCCCCTGGAGGTGCAGGGGCCCAAGCACTTTGGTCATCTAATACTTTCCCAGGCGCATTAACAGGGAGCTGGATCAGCAGTGGAGTAGTCAGAACTGAAACCAGTGCTCATGTGGGATGCCAGTGCTGCAGGTGGCTGCTTTCTACTTGCTATGCCACAACACCCACATCTTTGCCAGTGCGAAGGGGGTTTTGTTCTCTAACCCATATATTCTTTCAAGTCCTTGGTGTGCATCTGAATTCTGGCCATCCACTTTGGACATTGAGCTTTTGAAACTCCAAAGCAAAAGCCTCTGCATGGCCATGGACACTGCAGGTCTGTCTGTCTGCTTGGCTGAGTGGAGTCAGAGCACTGCTGGGCAGTGGATGATGGGATTTTCTCATGGGACACTTAGCCCACATTGCTGGTTCTGCTTCAGTCCCTCCCCAGAAGGTCTGGGATTATGGCTCAAGTGGAAGAATGCAATAGAGTGTGGTTGGCTCAGAGGGAAGAGAAACTCTCACAAGAGGTGGGTATTTATCCTAATGGGTAAGATGCCCATGTCCTGTATCAGAGGGCCTGTGTTCGAGTCCCAGCTAAGGCACACTCTGGGAGGCAGCAGATGATGTTCTTGAGTCCCTGCCACCTCTGTGGACAACACGTATTGAGTTCCCAACTCCTTACCCTCTGCCTGGCATAGCCCCAGCTCTTGTAGGCAGGTGTAGGGGCCAAAGTGAGGAGTGTCAAGACAGGGGATGAGTCAAAGGATTGGAGATTTCTCACTACCTCTCAAATAAAAACAAATAAATATTTTACAAACCTGATTTCTCATGTGACAGTATGGGGGAGTGACTGGGGCAGGCTATGTCCAGCTATGACTGGCTCTGGGAGAGCGAATCAGCCCAGTCCTTTGGAGCTGTGCCTCTGGATGGTCATGCCTGGGGGACCCTAAGGGTTGAGAGCCCAGGAAATGCAGAACAGTCTGAATGGGGGGCTATGCTCCCCTTGGGTACCCCTTCTACCTCCCAGAGCGCAGATTTCTCTCTACCAGTCAGTATTCTGGCTACCCTCTATCCTGATCTAACAATTCTCCCTTGGGCTCTGTTTTTGATTAAGCCAGGGCTTTTTTGATCAGACCAAAGATGACATCCATGGGTGGCAAGGGGCAAAGGACTTCAAAGCATCCCCCACTGACTTCCCAGGTGCCTTAGCAGGGAGCTGGATGGGAAGTAGAACAGTTGAGCTCAAATCAGCACTCTGATCATGGAACGTGGGCATAGCAAGCCACAGCTTAACCCATTGAGCCAACAGCATCCCTCACCCACTGTGTTGTTCTGTGGGGAACCACTGCACCCCTGCACGCCCACCTCAGGCTCCCTTGTCACTTCCCCCTGCCACCCCACCCCAGCCCTGTCCCAACCTTTGCCAGGCGGCTGGCTGTAACAGCTTCCAATCCAGATCAGAACAAATTCCAGGCATGCAGGTTACCTGTTGCCCCTCTGTTTCCAGGTGAACCCAGCCTGGTCCCCAGCTCCTTCTCAGCCCTCCAGGGACTTTGAAGGAACATAACCTCTGAAGCTGACTCCCAAAACTTCCTATACTTTCTGTCACAATAGCCTCTCCCTTAGTGGATCTCTTACCATGGCTCACTACAAAAACTTTATAAAATGCAGATTGTAGGGCCCCATTGCTAGAGATGCCATCTTCCTAACTTGGAATCTGGGCACATACATGAATTTTCCATCAACACTACAGAGTTGTGACTAATAACAGGCTAAGCTGAGACCCTGCTCCCTCTCATAGCAAAATTATTTGTCCTATTATGGGGTCTAACCACATTGTTTAACAATGACTAACAGTGTACAAGAAACGTTGACTAACAGCAGTGGCACCACTTTCATCCCAAACATCCCTGCAGTCTGACGTCACATGTGTCCATTCTACAGGGACAACTGTCTACAGTGTCATTGGATACACATAGAAACTGGAGTCATAAACAATGACTTGAAAATAAATTCTTGTTAGCCAACTGTAATGTACTGAGCGCTCAGCCCTCTACAGGATATGAGCATGTAGACACCAGACAACACTGGGCACTTGACATGCTTCACAAGAGTGTTGCCTCACTGTTTGCGAAGAAAGCTGGATCAGGACCAGTGCACTGGCTCAGCAGGCTAGTCCTCCATCTGCCAGCACCAGCATCCTTGGGGGAACCAGTTTGTGTCTTGGCTGCTCCACTTCTGATCCAGCTCACTGCTTGTAGACTGGAAAAGCACTGGAGGCTAGCACTAGGTCTCTGAGTCTCTGCACCTTTGTGAGAGACACGAAAGAAACTTCAGGCTCCCAGTTGTTGCAGCCATTTGGGGAGTGAGGCAATGAATGCAAGACCTCTCTTATCTCCCTCTTCCCTATAAATCTGCCTTTCAAATAAAAATAAATAAATTTTTTTAAAAGTATCTGTTAAAAAAGAAGAAAACAGCTGTTAAAAAAGAAGAAAATAGCTTAACAATCAGTTAAGTTATGATTTGCAACAGCTGCATTTCCAACACCAGCATTCCTATCAGAGTGCCACTCCGATGGTTACTCCACTTTCAATCCAGTTCTCTGCCAGTGAATCCTGGGAGATATATGACAATAGTTCAAGTACTTGAGCGCTTGTTTCCCACTTGGGAGACCCTAATGGAGTTCTGAGCTCCTGGCTTTGCCTGGCTCAGTCCTGGCTGCCATAGGCATTTGAGAAGTGAACATGTGGATGGAAGATCTCTGTTTCCACCTATCTCTCTTTTCCTCTGTTACTCTGCCTTTCTTTCTTTTCTTTTCTTTTTTTTTTTTTTTAAAGATTTATTTATTTATTGGAAAGTCAGATATACAGAGAGGAGGAGAGACAGAGAGGAAGATCTTCCATCCAATGGTTCGCTCCCCAAGCAGCTTCCATGCCTGGAGCTGAGCCAATCTGAAGCTAGGAGCCTCCTCCAGGTCTATCACCCAGGTGCAGGGTCCCAAGGCTTTGGGCCATTCTTGACTGCCCTTCCAGGCCATCGGCAGGGAGCTGTACGGGAAGCGGGGCTGCCAGGATTAGAACCGGCGCCCAAATGGGATCCCGGTGCATTCAAGGCGAGGACTTAAAATGCTACGCAATCATGCTGGGCCCCAATAAATATCTTTTTAAAATTAAAAAGATAAAGCTGGCATGCCACAACT